TAATCCTGCATGTCAACTGTACTTCAATTAAAGAAAATAAATATATATAAATATAAACACATATATCTCTCTCAAGTGCTTAAACTAGTGCCGTTCAATAGAACATTCTGAGATGATGGAAATGGTCTGTATCTGCATTGTACAATATAGTAGTCACCAGACCAACAGGGCAATTAGACACCTGAAATGTGGCTAGTGCAGCTGAGGAACTGAATTTTCTTTAAAAAAAAAAAAAAATGTTCTTAGCAGAAGCAGGTTCTTGTGCCTTTCCTTTCCTTGGTTACTCAAAAAATGGAGCTGCTGCTGCTACCAGAGGAACCAGGGGAGCAGGTAGATGGGGGCAGAAGTGCCGGGTCATATAACATTCTCAGCAATATCTCTTAGCCCTTTCCATCACCTTCCCTCCTTGACCAGTCAGGACCTCATTAGGAAATTTGCCCCCCCTCTTCTCCCCACCCTGAAACATAATCACATCTTTTTGAACCAGTTAGTAATTATAGAAGATAATCTTGAAAGAGCCCAGATGCTGCCATCCATTTATGCTTTATTGAGGAGGATCTTGCAAACATGCAGCATCTAGGCACTTTCTTTGTGCTGTCTCAGCATCGTAGTTGCTGATGGAAGCACGAATGCTCATTAGCATTTTAAGAGATTTTAATAAAAATTGTTAGTTTGACAATAGACATGGGACAGGTTTAATCAGGAATACCATATTTTAATCTCTGGTGCTAATTCAATCCTTGCTTCAATAAGAGAATAATTCTCTGACCAGGAACAGGGAAATGTAGACACTGTGCCTGGGAAACAGTGAGAATTTTGTAGTCCTGGCTTTATCCCCTGCGTTTTCATTGCTCTTTGTCTGCATGTCTCTCAGGGCACTGGGAGTGCTTTGCTTTTATATTTCACAATAGACACTTCACATTTGCCAGGGATCTGTCCAGGGATCTTGGTGAATACCCAGCGTTTCTCGGACCCTTGGAGCACCAAGCTTCATTACTGGGAGGTCAAGTGAACTTAATCACTGGCTAGCGCGGATTCCTGCCTTAGCAACATGGCTCCCTCTCACGGGTCATCAAAGTCCTTTGTCACCATCAGAACCCTAGAGACCATTTCTTGGAATGTAGAGGTTGCTCGGAAAGGTTTTACGCGTGCACGTATGTCTCCTCATAAGACTGCAAACTTCTGGGCGGTAGCGATCATTGTGTCCCTTCATCTTTATATCCTCTAACAGTCCAGCATCGGTTATTGCTGAGGGAGGAAGGGAGAGCTGTTCCTACATCAACTCATGTCCCTGTCTGTTCAGCTGCACTGTCACGAAATGATTCTCCTTCATGTTTTTAAATAAAGGAACATTATTTGGATAGGTAATTAGATAGGTCACTCCTGTTAACTCTCTATAGGTCTTTGGTTTTGTTGTTTTGTTTTGTTTTTTGGTAATTGCTTGAGGTTCCATACTTTAAAAAAAACAATTCAATTTGGGATTTTTGAAGAATGCTTTTCTTGCCATCATTAGTTTGCTAAGAAACGTGCACTTCCTGGTGATTTAGTGACACGTTTGTCAGGTACACGTGAAAGCAGCCTTTCAGTTGGCCCCCACCACATGCTGCATCCTTCCCTGAGGCTCAGGCTTCGGCCCAGGTCCTGCTCTCTTTTAGTTGCCAGGGAACCAGTTCCCACACCTCCTCTGTCTCCTGGTCTCCTTCCTTGCTGCCTGTGAATCCCAGCACACACTGTGCTTGTAATTTCTGGGCCGTACAGGGAATCGGGAAAGGTCGGAGTAGGGGTTTAATCAAAATAGACATTGGAAAAGTTACAGTCACAGGAACTCAATTAGTAGATTACTCCGAGGGGTCATCCATCCATGTGAAAATGTATATGGAGGTAAAAATGCCTTCATTTTAGTCCCTTCCAAGACTTCCTTCTTAGAGAGTCCTTGAGTTAGACAGAACACATCAGCCTGCAGTCAACTAAAGTTTACTCAAATTAGCTCAAGAAAGGGACTTGTGAGAAGAATGTTACCTGCTTCCAGGAGAGCTAAGCAAGCAGGCCTGGGGGAGGGCAGGGACAAAGGCAGGTCTTAGGACGTCAGCAGTGGGCCTGCTTACTGGACATTTCCCTAGGTTCTGAGTGTTGAGAAGAGAGAAGGTCCCTGCCCAGCATCCTGACTCAACCAGCTGCGGCTGGAGGGTGTGGGGCTGCCCCATTCTGGGCTGTGAAATTTAGACATGCAGCTAAGCTGGTCTATCCACTGTTGTTTCCAGGTATTATAATCTACTTCCCCCATCACTAGGGGTGAGCAGTGATCAAAAGGGATCTTTCCATTTATTTTTTGAGATAGAACTTTCTCCAGGATGACATTTTTCCTGTCTTTATTCCATTAAGAACTTGGCTGGTATGAATTTAATTTGGATCTCTTATTCCCATGACTGGAAATTTTCAGTCTAGGAAGGGTTAGATTAGAAGAGGAACAGATTTGAAATGAATTATTTAGAAAAAGATCTCTTATAGCCATTGTACATTCAACAATTCGAAAACATTTCTCAGCCATTGGACTCAAGGCTTTATGCTAGATGTTTTAAAGAAAAATATACTAATAACATAGTGTTACATGTCAGTGAGTTTACATGTTAAAGGAGTTTACATGTAGGAGCTAATTTTAATTTTCTTGCACATCTTTGAACTAGGTAGGTCTTGCGACTATCCCTACATTCAGAGCAGAAAATTAAGACTTGGGAAGTTTAAGCAACTTAAAAAATATATAGGGGGAGGGGCGCCTGGGTGGCTCAGTTGGTTAAGCATCCGACTCTTGATTTCAGCTCAGGTCATGATCTCAGGGTCCTGAGATTGAGTGCCACATCAGACTCCACGTCTGGGTGTGGAGCCTGCTTAGGATTCTCTCGCTCCCTCTTTCTCTCTCCCCCGGCCCCAGCTTAAGCTCTCTTCTCTCTAAAATAAATAAAATCTGTTTTAAAAAATCTTGAGTTAATGTATAAAATTCATGAAAAAAAAGTAGTGGGAAACAAATTGGACCGGCAGGTAGTAAGACAAATGATGGGGTTATTTTGTTGGTCACAAAGACCCACTGAAGTTTTGGGTCCTAGGGGTCATATCAGAACTATCCTTGGAGAAGTTTCCTGGCAATCCTGTGTGGAATGGCTGAGACAGAGAGTAACCAAGGAAGCCTTTGATGAGGCACTAGGAGGAGCTGAAGGAGGACCAGGACCAGGGTGGTAGCTGTGGAAACAGAACTGACTGGAGAACCTTGTGGTTTTCTGTCAGGCTTCCCTTGAAGTCCCCTCTCTGGGCCTGGGTTTTAAACAAACTAGCTTTTAAACATCTGAGCATAGACTACAGCTGATTTTGGAATTGCCTTTAATTTCTGCAGCAAAGAAATAGAACAAAACAAGCTAAATTTTGAGACACTGCCCGTGAGAAACAAAATGATTGAACTCTGAGGAGTCAGTGGGTAGTATTGTCATCCGGTTAAGGGTGGCCTGAAAGGGACCCTCTACACACACCCACATTGCTACACAGTTTTTCTCCATGTCAGAGTGAAGGAGACAAAACCTGTGAGAAGCATGTTTGCCACTCAGGACAGGGGCCGATTTGTTGTCTCTCAGAACTGCTTTTCCTTGGCCTCGCGTCCCTAAGAGGACACACTGCTGCTGGTCTTACTGTCTACATGTCCACACAAGGTGGTTACATGGATCTGAGAAAACAGACCAATTTTTAATGCCTCCTATTCCTGAGGCTTGTATCGCATTCCAGAAGAACTTCTGGATGATCCTGTTTGAAGCAATGTGTATAAGTATTGGGCTTTCCTGGGTTTTGAACCGGACTCAGTATCTGTGAGGTTCTTACTTCATCCAGAGGAAGAGAGTAGACCCAGTGTCTCCAGCTTGTGAACACTCTGGGACGGGTGTCTCCCTGGCTTGGCCCTGTCATGTATGCCTTTAATCAGCAAGTATGAATTCAATGTTGTGTGTACCAGGCACTGGGCTGCATACGGGAGATGTAGTGATGAATAGGGCACAATTATTATGCGACATGGGTACCAGGATAGTTTGGGCATAGAGGCAAGCAGATGAGTTCACAAATACAAAAAATTGTTGAAGAGGCTTCTCAGTATTTGGTAAGTCCTTTGACCTTGGAAGCTCCTGAAAGGAATAATTAAAAAAAGAAAAGGGGAAAGAAAGACAATTACAGTTCAAAGAGAAAAGTTTGAGTTCAAAAGCCTAAGAGCCCTTAGGGATAAACAAAAAATTCCCTAAGTAGACATAATAATAAACCTGTTATGAATAATAGTCATAATATGAGCTTTTCAATTCTTTTAAGAATTAGAGATATTTTTGGATTGGACTGGGAACTTCAGCCCTATTGAGTTAGAACCTATCTTTTAGTTTTATCTTTTATTTCCCTCTGGTGCCTAGTAGTAAATGTCTTTAAAACGGTTAGGAGGAATTCTTGCTGTCAAGTAAGAAGTAAAGAAGAGGGTCAAGCTAGGGCTGCACTCTGGATCTAGAATCCACAGGAGGGTGTGGAAGGTGATTCAGTCCTAGGCATGAAGCTGAGTTCTGAGAAGGGTTCCACCTTTGCAGGGACTCCCTGAGGTCCGCCACAGGGTGGCTGTGGGATCTGGGGACTCCGTGTCCACATTTCTTGGAATTACCTAGAGTTCTAAACCTTATATGCCACTAATAAGTACCTTGTTCTGCTCTGGTGCCATGATAGTTTCCTTTACTTTATTCCATTGAGGTCAAGAGTAAAACAGTATCAAACAGAGTACACTGCCAATTTCCTGATAACCAATCTGATTTGAAAATACTTTAAGGAAGAAATGTGTTAATGATATAGGGAAGAGATGGGGAGAAAGAGATGCCTCCTCTCTTTTTGTAACATCATACTTTTGTACAATATAAGCATTTTCTATTCTTTAAGGATTAGCTAGCTGAAGACTTGTAAATTTTTCCCCATAAATAACGGTCACTCTCCTCTTTCAGCAGATTTCTGCACACGGCAGATCTTCTTCCAATGTAAATGGTGGACCTGAACTTGGTCGTTGCATGAGTCCTGAAGGTAGTCCTCAATCTGATGATTACTTTTATAAAGGAAGTCACCCATGTGAACTTGGTGGCCACCCAAAACCCACTTGTGCTAAAGTATGATCTTCCTCAACAGGGATGTAATCATGTCACCGATTAGCCTAATGAGCCTTGGTGAGGTCACTTCAGGATATATGAAATATCCTTGTTTTCAATTAAGCTAACCCAATTTCAGATTTTACACTTGGGCTTCCTTTATTTTTCCTTAGTGGCAGTCTGCTCACAAGTCTTACATGTAGACTTCCCTTTCTCTCAATTAGGTAGCAAACGTGTGTTTCTTCATTGGATGTCTGCTATGTGCTGGGCCCTGGGGATACATTGTAAAAAGTAGTCCTTTTAACCACTTCCTCCTCCTGCCTCTCACCCCCTCCCCTTTTTGAGAGGACTTTGAGCCAGGAGTTAGCCTTAACAGGTATCCCACAGCTGGGTAGAATTTTCTCTACTAGAAAATCTTGAGAAATCTTGAAAATTTTTAAGATCGAATCCCCACCTTCATCCCCTTTCCCTTCCTCGAGAGTTAACAAAGAAATTTACAAAGCCTAGGTTAAATTTTCTTTTACTTATTTTAGCTGATATTTCAGGGATATGTTAGGTTTTTTGATTATGTTCGTTTCAGATTTCACAACAAGGTCAAAAGGAAATTGGTGATTCAGGTGTTCAGGTGTTCTCTTCAGAAACTATGCTTAGAAATTTTCTTATAGTTCACTACAGATTTAGAAATCAATTGCATTGCAATTTATTATTTTACAGAAATGTAGGAATCAAGGTGAAATGCTGATGTGTTTGCTAGACTTTGCATTTATCCTTTTGTGCAGGTGTGAATGGAAACAGGTGTTCTGAATCATCAACTCTTCTTGAGAAATACAAAATCGGGAAGGTTATTGGTGATGGGAATTTTGCAGTAGTCAAAGAGTGCATGGACAGGTGAGTGGATCGTGAGGATAATCATTTGTTTACCTACATTTCTCCCCTGGAGTTTATTCTTACTAAGCTGAATGAAAGAACAAAGGGCCTTCCTGGGAGGTCTCTTTTTCCCCCTTCCTGAAAAAGTCTACAGTTAGGTAGGACCAGCTGTTTTGTAAGCCCACAGGCAATTTGACCTGGAAAAAATAGGTATAGGCACAGAGTATAAACTTGCTTTGTACGCAGTTGGGCTGAGAGATTTATCAGGTCTCATCCATAAGCCAGAGAGGAATAGGAAAAAATAAGATTCATTGGAAAAAAAAAATCTCCTAGAGCACTTACTTGTGTCAGGCATGTTCTCAGTGCTGTGCTTGTATTATTAACCCTTTTAAGCCCCACAGTAACCCTCTCAATTAATACTTAATTGTAAATACTAGGAGTTCAGATACATGAGCTCTGACTCTATTCAGATCAGGGTCAGCCAACTTTTGCCCATTTTAAAATTATATATTTGCTTATTCAACTTTATATTGTTTAAGGTCCTAAATTCTCAAGTGGTAAGAAATCCATTCTTTTAAATTCCAGGCCTTTTGTAAACAATATACAAACTGGAAAAGACTCAGATTAGAGCTTTTGTGTTTGTAGGTCAATACCCTACTTGGTCTAAGTGGTAATTTTTATTATTGGTGGGGAGTTTTCCAGAAAGCTTTTCCATTTTGTCGCATCTCCAGTGAAGCTTTCGTGCTCCTTGTAGAGGACACTGCCCCGTCCCCTGAGCCCTTTTACTTAGCTCTGGTGCCCAGTTTGCCACCCAAGTAACAAATTAAGCATCTAAGATACGATCCCTACAGACTCATTAGAAATCTGAGTCAGGGTTTGTTTTATGTTATGGGGAAGCAATTTAAATGAAAGTTGCTCTTCTAATGTCAGCTTCCACAGTGTGTACTGTGACCATGTGGCAAAAGCAGTAGAACTTGAGAGAACTCATGTATTCCCGGAATACTGCAGTGTTTTTTGTTGAACTGTTTTCCTGGCTAAACAATACTTTTTGGCATGTTCAGATTAAATTGTGTTAAAGGTGATTAAACGTGGGGCGCCTGGGTGGCTCAGTTGGTTAAGCGACTGCCTTCGGCTCAGGTCATGATCCTGGAGTCCCGGGATCGAGTCCCGCATCCAGCTCCCTGCCCAGCGGGGAGTCTGCTTCTCCCTCGGACCCTCCCCCCTCTCATGCTCTCTTTCTCTCTCTCTCAAATAAATAAATAAAATCTTAAAAAAAATGATTAAACGTTAACAACCTCAACATTTGTATGTCCAAGTAAATGATCTCTTTCCTACCAGATGCAGGCATTTAAGGGTGTGGCTAAAATGGCACCAGCTGGAGTTTTGGCTGAGAAAGAGATATTGAAAGCCTAGGGCTTTTTAGTCATTAATAGATTAACGTAAAGATATATTGATCATAGAAAAATTTTAGTTATTTTGATTCATTTTCTTAATTTTACTCTGCCTCCTAAGATAACTATTTTGAGATTTAAGTATGGAAAAAATTTCTTGTCCAGCTTTGATACAACAGTTTTAAGTACTTTTAATATGTGAATTATTTAATATTAAAATTACTAACATCATAAAATGAGAATGACAGTGTGGCTTTGGATTTTTTCATTTCTTTTTTTGGGTACCTTTCTCCCTGACCCCACTCACTATCGTCCCTAATGTACAGAGGAGGAAGGTAGCACTTCTCTGTTGAATTGTTTTCCTATTCTAAGAGATATTTAGAAGAATATCTTAGTTTCTTTTAGTAGAGGAAATCGGAATGATTGTATCTTTGATTTGTGTCTTTAAATTGCCTTTCTCTGATTATTTCATAGGTCCACTGGAAAGGAATTTGCCCTGAAGATTATAGACAAAGCCAAATGTTGTGGAAAGGTACAGTATAAGAAACTGAGAAACCTTGGTGAGATGTTTACTGTGGTGAAGGAATTTAAGTGGGCATTGACAAGGCCTTAATAGGAATAGACCACTGATAATAACAGGGGAAACACTATCAACCTGTTTTTTTTCCTTGTCATTTTTCATTTTATTCTAAAATAATAAATTGACTTGATCCGGTCCTAGCTATAGAAAATGTAAGTTCTCTTCCTTGAGATGCCTATATGAAAACTCCACAATGCTCAAAAGATCTGTCACGAACTGTGATGAGTCTAAGACTTTACCTTACTTTCCAACTAACTAGTTAGCCTTCTTACTTTATGGATGCTGGCTGAAGACACAAGATTGCTGGGTCAGAGACAAAAGACTTTTATAACTTGTAGCACAGCAGGTAGCATTGGTTCTCTTAGCTCCCAAGTCCCACGGAAGTGATGCAGAGGGGCCCAGGCAGTTGCTATATACAGAATCTGGTTTAGATCACAGCTGAGGATCCTCAAGCTTAGTAAACCCCCAGTCTTACTTATTTATTTTTTTAAAGATTTTATTTATTTATTTGACAGAGAGAGACAACGAGAGAGGGAACACAAGCAGGGGGAGTGGGAGAGGGAGAAGCAGGCTTCCCACTGAGCAGGGAGCCCGATGCGGGGCTTGATCCCAGGACCCTGGGATCATGACCTGAGCCGAAGGCAGATGTTTAACGACTGAGCCATCCAGGTGCCCCAAACCCCCAGTCTTACGAGGGGGCTGCTAGCAAACCTGTCCAAACTTCCCCCCAGAAGAAAAC